GTACTTAGCTGGAGGAATAGAGAAAAGTACATCCTACCTCATCTTCCTGGAAGCAGAAGTCTAGTTTTATAATACCTTTGGAAAGCCAAAGTGGGTTTCATTGCTGGACACCCAGTGTATTTTAATGTCAGTATGGAAGAAATGTAATTCTAGTGTTTGATTTTTTTGTTTTGGATTTTAAAAATTATGTTAAAGTCAATTTAAGGGAAAGATTTTCATTTCTTTCTATTCATTTTTGTGTGTGTTACTTACCTCTCTGTATATTCAGTACAGTGGCCTGTGGGTTATGAGCCAGGATATGGATCTCTTTAGCCCTCTGGCTAGCCGTCAGGGCCTGAGACAACCCAAACTTCAGTGCTGTGTCCAAATGTTATCACTTATGTATGTCTGCCATAAGGTGAAAAGAGTGAGGAATCCTGACTGTGAAAACACCAGACTGACTTTAAAGGTAAAGTAAAAGTAAGGAATTCCTGTCTGAGGTATGATTTTAAGCTCTGCAGTCAGAGCAGTAGAAATAGGCACAGGAACAAATGAGCATTTCTCATTTCTAGGCTAAATAGATGGGTCTTTAATCTTTTCTTACCAAACAGTGAGCAATTCAGAGTTAATCCCAAGAAATCAAGAATTTTGTGGCATCTCCAATCTTCACCCAAATCGCCTTCTACTGAGTTCTTCAAAGCCAGATATCTTCTTCCTGGGTAAAGATAATCTTGTATTTCTGTCCTTCTGACACTAACTTCTCTTATAAATTCAAACACCATTGTATAGCCATGGCTAGAAATATCAGAATTATTTTGAACTTCAAATATTTCTTTTGTTCCATAGGTGCCTGAGTGTATCTTCCCAGCTCCCCAGCACTGCCAGACTGTGCCCGGAATGGATTATGCTTCTGATGAAATCCCTGCCGGCATTTCGTTCAGTCGCCACCGCAGGGTCCTTGTGTATTCTCAAGCACCCTCTCTGGGTTTCTGCCCTGCAGCCCTGCAGGCTGATTAAGGGACAATTTCCAAACCACAGGGCTCTCCCTTTGTTAGTCTCCTACACTCTTTCATTTCTGGCATTATTCTCTCATTTCAATCTATATTCAATCTAATTTCAAATTTCTTTAGCTCTCTAAAATTCCATAGACTATTTCCACTCAGTCTTTTCTAGCCATTTTTTAATTTTTTTAAATTCACCTTATTTTTCTTATCTCTATACAAACTAGTCATTTCCTTTTTTTCTTCTTAGTCTTTACTTTTCCTGAATATCTGCTAATAGCCTTGATCTTAAGCACTGAAACTCATTACAGACTAGGTACTCTTCATCTTTACTTGGTATTTAATTCTGTTTCTTACGCCAAAGGAAGAAATGTATGTGAAAGCCTTTTACAAACCAGAAAGCACTATGCGCTCGTATAACTTATTGAGATTAACAAAGGACCTCTGTGCCTCTTTTCACGCTTTCTGCTCCTTCCGAGCCAAAAGAACTTCTCCATAGAGGAGGGAAATATTGAAGAAAAATAAAGCAGTGGAATTGTCTCTTAGCAACTGAGTTCCTGCCTTATAAATCTTAACCACTTTAGATTACTGCTGCTCAAAATCACTTGCTTTTCTTACTGGCTCAGTACAAATAAGGTTATTACATTATAGGAAAACAAAGGAAAAACTCTAATGAATGAGTCCCTCAGTTCATTGATTGTGCTGTATCTTTGCTTAGCAATATCAATATAGTTGAGTTGTCTCTTTCTCTTGATTCCACTTGTAAAGCCTTTTTATATATCTTTTTTTGCAGCTTAAATTATAAACTAAGTAGAAGCCAAATACCACCTTATACCACCTTTCTGTTACCTGAGTCCTGAAACAATATAGGTCATTTAAGTAGTATGTAACATATATGTACTATATATAAATCAAGTTGTGTATAGCTTAGGGAAAATCAGGCATCCAAAAACTCAAAGCAAATTAGGGTATGATTATTTACATTATAATATGATCCATTATAAGGATTCTTCAACTAGTAGATCTTCATAGTATTTCTCATTTAGCAAATATTTTTGAGTGCCTCCAACACTAGACAATGGAAAGGATAAAGGTATTCTGTGTGTGTGTTTGTGTGTCTATGTGTGCGTAAATAGTTATTTGAGGCTTTCAGTATAATAAGATAGATACGACTTACACACAAATAAGGCAGGACAATGATAAATGCCCTGAGTGGTAAGCTGAGTGCTGTAGAAGTTCAGAGGAGGGAAAGGTCACTTCCAGCTGGGTGAGCTATTATGATTACGTGGGCAAGGTGACATGTTAGAGAGCCAAAGACTCACAGAGAGTTTGTCAAGTTTAGTAATTAAGGCAAGATTGAAGAGGTAGGTAAGATGTTGGCGCCTTCAGCAGTAGAACAAGGAGTTTAAACTTCAGTCAGTAAGCAGTGGGGAGCCACTGACTTTCTTTTTTAATCAAAGTCTTGTCTAGGAAAATTTATCTGGCAGTAATGTGTAATTTCAATTAAAAAAATTATTCTGTTGATAGTCTTTTAGCCTCCTTACTTTTGTATAAAGTAAAAATATGTTTATAAATAAGTCAATTATAGAATTGATTCATTTGTATTCTTTTTAAAAGGTAGTCAAAAAGCTGTTTTCAGATGAAATTAGATCCAGTAAGATGAGCTGCTTAGTTAAGATACAAGCAGTACATGAAGTGGGGTAAAAATACTACTTTTCATACTTTCTAAAATCATTTTTAGGGATTTTTTGTGTGTGTTGATTAGTCATTTCTCCAATTGAAGCAATGCAGAAATCTTCCATTTTCTTTTATTTCCCCCCTACAGGAAACAATGATTAGCCATAATGAAAAAAGCTTCTTATCAATAGCACTCTTAGATTTATTCTTAATTTTGCCAAGTATTTGTACACCTCTGCAAAAGACTTTGTTTCTCTGCCTTCTCCTTTAGTGGAAAAAATAATCAGTAGGAATGAAAACATACCTCACAGGGTCATTGTGAGGCTCTGCTGGTACAAAGATGAAGTGCTGTGTAAATATTCTGAAAATGTTGTTAACTGACTGAGAAGTGGATTTTAGACACATTGTTAGTGGAAACTGCTATAGACTGGAAATGCAGTGTTTTAATAATAAAGACTTATATGATAAGGCTGGCTGTTATTTCCCATGCATAGCATGCCTCAGGGAATTTGAGAGCATGAAATGGTTCCCACCTGCTACTGTGAAGAAAGTAACACTTCCTACATATTTACCTCACAGTGAAATCATGTTTTAAAACAGCACAGCTAGAGAAGCAGTGTGTCTCTGTGAGCCATTCTAGAAGCCAGGACGTTGGGAATATTAATCTTGACTTAGTTACTGACTTGCTATGTCTCCAGTCAAGTCAGTGGACCTTTTTGTACCTCAATTTTTTGACAGTTCTGGAAGGAGTCCTGAAGCTTCTCCAACGAAAAGAAACTAACTGGCACGTCAACAGCCTGGCACTGTAAGGGGCCCGGGAACATGCAACCAGAGCTCCTATAAAGTCATTTAAGAATAAGACTGTGGGCCAGGGCAGAGCATGCCATTTGCCCTGTCTTCTAAGCTGAGTACTGACCAGTTGAGTTCCCGCCCAAAGGCACAGTTAGTTGCACAGGAGAGGCTGTGAGTCTGGGAAGGACTCATGGTTTCCACTGTGGAGATCTGGTCAACATCTCAGGTTCATTCCAGCCTGAAGAACCTAGGAAAGATCATATTTGATTCCAGCCTTGGTCTTTGGTCCTTTTTGGGTCTTTCCTGGGGTGTTCTCAGTGTCCGTCTTGAGAAGCCTCAGGCCTTCTGAGCAGCCCTACTACTGTCACGTCTCTGAGCTTTTGGAAGGATACGGTCTGGGTCCAGGACCACACTGAATCAGTCCTGCTCTTCGGTTCTGATCTGGGGACTGTATGTTGTCAGATGAAAAAAGAATGTTTTAACTCAGTGAAATTTTATTCCATGATGGTATAGATTTAATAATAACAAGTGATGTAAGTTTTTTGAAAATGTGCTTTGGGTTTCAGAAAAAGAATTTTCTTTCTCTGCTTCTCACCTACACATGAAGAAAAGTTCAGAACAGTGCTTGAAAACATAAGTTCATACCATTAATCAGAAGCATTTCTTTTACCCAAAGTTTGTGACTGAAACTGACTAGTTGCTCTCAAGGCTTTAAAGTTAGGAGCACAGTTTTAGAAATGAAAAATTCTTTTTAATGTGTTCTTTTATTTTTGCTATACATGTTAGGTACCAGATAGAGCTTGCTGTGCTGAATTGAATCAAATCGAAGCATGCTCAGTAAAAAATAATAGCCCCTGGCTTGAGAACCAGACTTTAGTTCATTCGGAAACCATAAGAATCCTGGCCCAGTTTTAATGCATGAAAACTCTCCAAGCCACCTTGGCTAGAACCTAGTGTTATAGAACCAGGCCATAAAACATGAGGGTGGGGGACTCCCCACAGTGCTGAGGATCTGCTGTTATTTCTCAGCAAATCAAATCCATGGTGAATACTGGTGTACAGACTGTGTGGTCTAGTTCAGGCTGCAGCATCAGCATGAATAGTGGAAGACCAAGTTCAGGGAAGAGAAGGAAACCACAAAGATTGAGCGAAGAGGAAAGGGTTACTTGGCCAGGCACAGCAGCTCATTTTAGACATTCAGAGGTTGTTGCTTCTTTCTCTTCCTCTGCATACCTTCCCCACAAAAAAAGCTTACAGGGCGAATGAATGGAGGATGAAAGGCTTAACTTGGAAAGAAAAAAAATTACATAAAGTGATCATTTGTAGTGCCTGGGGGGACTTCTTAATGTTTATTGGGTGTGCACCTCAGCTTAACACATTTGACCAAAACATTTCCCTGGATTTCTTATCTTTTAATAATGCCATATAATCCTAAAGACTATTTACTATGTCTGATCCATTTGTCTACTGCAGTTCTGTAAAAACAGGATGGGAAGGCTCAGACCTCATTTTCTTCCATTAAAAGCATATCTAAAATCCTTCTCTTTTTAGGTAACAGTATGACTAAATACATTGAGAAGCTAGAAGAGATCAAAAAAAGTGAGTAACACTATTTATGGTGTGGGGTAATGGAACCCTATAGTGACTCTGTAAGTTGGTTATTAATGATCCTAACCATATTCTACAGGTGACTTGCATACAAAGCTATGGGAGTCAGGTGAGCATGGCAGATGCCTTGAAGGATGTGGGAAACACTGTACCATCGGGTCAGCTGCTGAGGTTGTGGTCTTTGAGTCTGAGTTCTGCCTGCCTTAAATCCCATGGGAGATATTAACATTGGAATATGAAATAATCTCTAGTTAAGCAGTGAGAACCCCAGCTTCTAGTTTCATTGTACTGCAATCTTTATGATCTGTATTCAAGATACTTAATCTTTCCTATTTTCTTATTTTCTCTGTACCTGAGATAGGAGTAATAATATCTTATTTCATAGCATTCTTTTTAGTATAAATTCGACAGTATTCATGAAAGACTTAGAGGTGTGAGAAAGAGCTTATTCTTAAAGTGGTGTTATGCATTATAAATTCATTGCAGTCAGCTTTCTTTTAATTAAAAATCATATTTCATGCACATCCTTTTAAAAAACTAATCTTCACCAAAGATATGCTTCTAGTCACTGAGTGCACTGCGCTTGCACAAAATCATAATTTTTCAATCTGTGTCCAAAACAGATGTAAAATGTACACATCATGGCCAGCATCAGAGAAGCAGGGACGTCTGTTTGCCAAGATGGATTTGCTCATAGCTTCAGTAGGAGAACCCCGTGCTACGGCAGTATTGAGCTAATGGCGGTGGAGAGGTATTCTGATTGGTAGCAGTTCAGTACCTGGCTCTGGTCAAATATACCTTCTGGGAAGAAAATATTACAAATCCAGAATTCACCAGAACTTTTGTTTTTACATAGCAGGACTTTTAATTTAACTGATAATGTTCCTGTTCCTTTTGAATTGCTGCAGTGTTAGAAATCCCAGACAATAGACGTAGACTCAGGAGCAGCTCCCTGCTGAATCTGTTATTTGCTACATTCAGCTATAAGGACTGATGTTATGGACATTTGTTTTTTAATGTGTAATGTCACAGTATCCTTTTTTTCTTATATATTTTATACTTTATACATTTATGCTGTATATTTAAAATGCTATGTATCTGTAAAATATTCCACTTTACATACATAAATATGTGGATATTACATTTTTAAACTATGAAAAAAATCTTGTTTACTCACCTAAACTTTATTGTTGTCATCCTTAATTCATCCACTGTGAGCAAAATTCAGCTGGCCTGCTTCTCTTCTGGTTTGTAGCCTTTTTCACCTCCTAAGCAGAGGTAGCCAAGTGTAAACTCACCCATCCACACCAAAATTTGTCCCATATAAAAATTGTCCCATTCCACCCAGCTTGCTGAAACCCTGTTTAAAATATTCCTCATAAAAGCACAATGTGGTTTCTGTGATATATAAACTTTAAATGGAGCTTATCTCCCAAAAGAAATACCTGTGGGTTAGTCTTTGAAAATGCACACTTCACCTTCCCTCTTTAGGAGCTGTGGGCTGCCTTTTAGTAAGACAGGAGGTTCCTCTCACCTGGTTTCACAGGCTTTGTGCTGATTCTCCAGCTAGAATTACTTCAGATTCTGGTTTGGGATCTACATCTTGGAAAATATTTCCTTCTCTCTTCCCGTCTTCTGTTGTAGGTGTTCTTTTGGGTCAGAAGGAGGAGAATGTTGCCTTGTTTTGTGACACCCCAAACCCATCCCTTTTCTCAGATTACCTTAGATGCCATGTCTTTCTGTGAAATCACAAACCTTGTCCTGTTACTTCCTTTGATTTGTCTTCCACTGTGAGCCCAACTTCCCTTTGCTAATAACGCATTTTAACAGAACCCTGAAAACGCAGAATTCCTTTGTGATCTGAATATTCTTTCAACTCTGCCTGGGGAAAATAGACACCCTGTGTCTATTGACCATTCACAAAGCCCATTCTTGGCTTCTGGTGGTTAGATGACACTGGTTGGGCCCGGAGTGAAGCACCCTAGATAGTTAGGTCTCTGTCCTTCCAGTAACTCGAGAGAGACACAGTTAGACTCCAGACTTACCGGAGAAGCAAAACTTGATAACACATCTGAAACTAGGATTGTTTGTCTCCATCATAGAGTCTGGGAGAAGCTACAGTAGCAGAAGCTCCATTCTTAAAGCTCTGCTCGCCCTTGCAAGGACAGACTGACAGAGCTTTCCAAGTTATCCTTTTTATAAAATTTAAGACTTACTGTAAAACGTCTAGCTTAATCTTTTATCTGAGTAATAATGTCAGAAAGTCCTCATGATGGCTGTCCTCCTAAACCAGAACCAGGTATGTAGAGTTCAGGCTCAAATGTGCAGTGCAATTTCTAGTGCTTATGAGAGGATGCTGGAAATAATGATCAGAAAACAGCAGCGACTGTGTTCTTATTTAAGGTAATTTCTATTTAAAGAGGATTTAAATGTGTGTATTTTGTACATAGAACGTGAAGAACTAGAGTAGTATTTCCAACTACATTAACTATACCAAAAGAATAGCAATGGATAAATGCCACAGTGCAAACTACTTTGAAAGCTATTGACTATTTTCATTGGCTGACTTATTGCCATTTTGATTTACATAAATGACTTTGAGTGGACAAGTTGGTGGCAACTGAAAGAAATACTGTAGTTGAGTTGCATTTTCTAAAGCTTCTGCTCAGCTTATTCAGGTCTGCATCCTGATGTGTTTTAGAAGCTACTTTGCATCTAGGTTTGCTACCTTGTTGTATCTAGAAGAAACTGTTTTAAGAATTTCCTGGAAGAAAGATCAATTTTTAGCCAGATTGCTATCTTTAGGACGTTGTTAGAACAGAGAAGCTTGAGTTCCTCATCAGAAAGAGTCTTGAGGTACTTAGAGAAGGTATGTTTTTAAGATAATATCATTTCCTGACTGTGAGTCTCAAGGTGTTTGGTAAACCATGCTCACATTATCCTCCAAAGTAGCTATCTGGTCTGTGCTGGTTTTTTGGAAAATTGATGGGAATAATTAGTATAACCAAGTAAATAATATTAAGTACCTTTAATCCTTTCCTTTGTTAGGATTCTTTGTTTATGAGACTAAAGTAATTATCCAGCTAACCTTCAGTAATTCTGAAGTAATGAGGTAGTAAGTCAAGGATGCCAATATATAAACCTAGAAGAGGAGTGAAGAGTAGGGGTGGGCAGGAGTTCAATCCTGGAAACTCTTCAGAATTGGCAAGTCTTCTTCAGAAAAGTTTAGGGAGGCCAGCTTTTAACATGCCTCTATGGGACAAATAATAAAGTGAGATTGGCTGTATTTCTTAAAACTGTTTAATATGTGAAGAATTATTAACACAAACAAATGCAAAAGTTTGAGTTATGTCTCAGAATTGTAAAGATAGCACTGAGTAAATATTGATGTTTCCAGTTGACTTTTCTTTTTTTTTCTAAGTTTGGTTTTAAAAAAACCCACAGTACAAGATTTACCACTGTAACCTTTTTCAGTGTACAGTTCAGTACTGTTAAGTGTATTTACTTTGTTGCACAATAGATCTCCAGAATTTTTTCCTATTGCAAAACTGCATTAAGTTAATTTTTATTGAGGTAAAATTGAAGGAAAATTGATACAAGAGATTATCAGGACCAATCGTAAGTTTGTGCCCAATAATGTACTCCAGGAAAAAAGGGTCATCCTCTGTTTCTAGCATAGTTTGTAACCTCAGGAATAATTATTCTCTTTCTAGGACAGAGATAGAATAGTGGGGTATAAATGTCTTACCAGCTTTTGACCTAGGGCACCTCAGCTTCTCTGGGTCTCTGTCCTCATTTGTAAAATTCAGATATTTATCCCCTGCTTGTTCTGAAAAGGATTTAAAGGACTTACAAAAATGTATGCAATACAGTGTGGTCAAAGTAGAGACAGCATAGTAGGGAAAATTGTAGACCAATAAAAATAAAGGGAAGAGGTAAAATCACTGGACCCAAAAAGATAGCTTAGAGTTGGAGTAGGATGCTTCTCTTGGCCAGAGCAAAAATGATACAACACCTGCCACATTTAATTCTGAGGCTATCCTGAGGATCAAGTGAGGTAATGCAAGGAAATGCATGTAAATAACTGGAAAAATATACCATTTTGGGGTACATTTCTTGATGAAATTTCTTGATGACCAGAAAGAATTATTACCTCCAAGAAAGCAAAATAAACCTGGAAAAAATATTTGTCCCGTTCTGCTTTGCAGATTATAGATACAAAAAAGATGAGCTTTTCAAGAGACTAAAAGTAACAACTTTTGCCCAGCTGGTAAGTTTAATGATCTTCCATTGGAGTAAATACTATCTAATTTGTGCTACTTTCTGTATTTCTAAATTCAACTCTGAGTAATGTTTGCAGAGGGTTTTCTTCTGCTTCTTTATATTTCACCTATGAGAGGGCTAATTGGTATGAAACTTTTTTCTTTGAAAAGAATTTTATACAGTAAAATATACATTCTACTTTTTAATAATCAAATTTGTAGTTTAAGTTTTACTTTTCCTTGTCAATTTATCTTAATAATGAGAATCTAGAATTCTGGGTTCTTTATTGCCTGGACATATTTCTCTGTGGAAAGCAGGTAATATCCCATCTATGACTGTACTCTTTTTCCAAGTCTTTCTGCCATGGGCTATTTTGTTACTTTAGGAAAGTCACTTTCTTCTTTCATTTGAAAATTATGGACAAAATGTTTCTCTGGCCCCCAAACAAGGGTTCCAGTGATGTGCAACTCAAGGTGGATGTTAAACTAGTTAGCTAAGTTGTGAAAAGTGATTTATTTATTTTTTAATTTGAATTCTACGTACCAGTTTTTAAATGTTTATTGGAGTGTAGTTGATTTATAATGTTGTGTTAGTTTCAGGTGTCCAGCACAGTGACTCAGTTATTATATGTATATGTATTCTTTTTCAGATTCTTTTCTCATATAAGTTATTATGGAATATTGAGTTCCCTGTGCTATACAGTAGGTCCTTGTTAATTATCTATTTTATATGTAGTAGTATGTGTATATTAATCACAATCTCCTAATTTATCATTTCCTACAACAGAAAAGTACTTTAAAAACTGTGTGTTGACTGTACAACATTGTAATCAATATATCCATAATTACATTTATTTCTTCGTTGCATGAATAATTTCTAATACAATGCTGTTATGCATTTTTTAAGAAATAGCATGTTATTTTGAAACTAGAATATACATGAAGGCATTTTTAAACTCTTATTTATGTTTCTTGTCCAATATTATCCTATTGGTCTTTTAAGTTTATTGTGTAATGTTTTAAACAAGTTTTTTCTTCTGGAATGAAGAAAATGTAATTACTGCCATCAAAGTAAGAAGACCTGAGATTTAGTCTTCAACTGGGGACACTGACAGTTTCTTAAAACAGGAGATCTTTGATGTTTGATATTTCCTCATCTTCTGTTAAAAACAGAATTGCCTCTGTTTAAAGACAAACATACACACAAAACACATTTCATTCTGTTTTTTATCAGGTCATCCAGGTTGCATCCCTATCTGATCAAACACTGGAAGTGACAGCTGAGGAGATTCAAAGGCTAGAAGGTAATGAGAATTGAGGATTTGGGGAAAATAACAAATTGACCGTTTGACTGTGGGATCCAGTGCTGTTGTGTTCACAGGGACTTTGATGTATCTGTCTGTAATTAGATTGTGACTCTCTGAGAAATGCTATCTGGCGCTTTGCTGATTCTTATTTCTTTAAAAAGAAAAGCTGTCTGGTTTACTGGTTGTAACATTTTTCGTCTTAAATTTTTTAAATGTGTTTAATGTACTAATTAATTTTTTAAACAAATATTTTTACTGCTCTGTGTATATGTACAGGCCATAGAGTTAGGTGCTGTGAGACTACCAAGATGAAAAAGACACAGCTCTGCTTACATGCAGTCGTATGAATTTCTGTCATATGAGTAACCTTGTCTTTCTGTTATTATTTTCCTCCCCAATACATGTGTGTCCGTCCCCATACGTGTGTGCACGTGCACACGTGGCCTTCAGGGTGTGGAGTCTCAACAGGTGCAAGCTAACGGTGAGACTGTCTCAGGCTGAGGAGCAGCCTGAGCAAAGGCACGGAGAAGTCCAAGCGTGTTTGGGAATCACATAACCCAGTCTGGCTGGGGTCTGAGTGAAGGCTATGAGATAAGGCTAGAAAGACAGATAGGCACCAGATCTCCTTTCTTAAATACCAGGTTGAAAAGAAAGCCTCCTAGGTGTACTATCATGATAAGAATCCACAGAGCAAAGGTCTTTATTCATCCTGAAGTCCTCAGCTGTCAATATGCGCCTGCTTGTTGAAGGGGATGTGTTTTGTTAAGGTTGATGTAGGCCAGGAATTTGACTTCTGATTTCAAGACAAGTTTCTCAGGAAGTCTGAACACTGGGTTTGTACAACTCAACTGTCATTTCCCTGGGCTTGTTTTTGTTAGGGAGGATAAAGAGAATCTGGAAAAGACAAGAATTTATCTTTTGACGGATGCCTTTCACACTGCAGAGAAATAAGGGCTCTTTGTAATAGAGATAATTGAGTGTCCTCATATGAGTACTCCCAATTTTAACCTGGTTATTATAAAGTACCTGGATTTTGCCCTTTAATTCATTGTCGAGATTGCAACACCAGGACATATGGGCACATGCAATTTTCTCTTCTGAGATAAATTTGCAGAGCAAAATAGGCTCTTGTAAAGTAGGACACCATAATGTGTGAGTAATATTAGTGTTTTTAGTGCTCCATACAGAATAACAACTCACTCAGGAATGCCTGTAGAGCAGACTATCTGTGTACACATTGGCTGTTTTTGAAGGAATAAAAAAACTCCTTTTATAATATTTATTTTTTCCCTGCTTTAAAATATATTTCTAGAAAATCAGAAACCTGTTTAAAAAAATATATAAAGAAGAAAATTAAAATAACTAATAAACCCTATTAACATTTTGGTCTATTTTCCCCACCCAAATCCATATTCTTCGTATATAGTTTTGTACTATGCTGTTTTCATTGAACATTTTATCATGAAAACTTTGCTATGTCATTAAATAGATTTCAAAAGCTCAATTGTAAAGGCTGTGTTGTCATATAATGTCTAGCCTTTAGATATGCCATTATTTATTTAATTATTCTCCTATTGTTGGCCATTAATGTTTTTCTGATTTTTCATTTTTATGAGAGAATGTTGTAGTGTAAATACATAAATTTTTGTATGGTTCTTATTTCCTGAAGATAAACTGCTGCAGATGGTCAAAGGGTGGAACCATTTTTAAGATGCTCAGTGCCGATTCCACATTATCTCCAGAAAGGTTCTACTTGTTTGTATTCCTACCGAACAAATAAGAAGACCCATTTCTCCCCATCCTAGCCAGTGCTGAATAGTTCTCACTTTTGTAAATGTTTCCCAGTTTGATGGATGAAAAATGGTATATAATAGTTTTATTTTTAATTTATCTGAAAATGAGATTGAGTCTTGCATACATGTCTGTGTTTGTTGGTCATAGATATTTCTTCTTTTGAGGACATGTCCTTTCTTGCTTCTTTCTAATGGTATGTTCATCTTTTACTTACTGATTTGTAAAATCTTTAAGTGATTATGATCTCTTTATTCATTGGAAACCAATATAGCCTTGAAAATAAATGAGAAAAATCTTTACTTGATGTTATTAAGTTAAAAAAAAAAGTAAACAACAAACCATAGTGTAGAGCAGTATGAATAGCGTCTTTCTGGATATGGAAGAAGGGGAGAAGTAAATATATATAAATATATAGTTGTTTCATTTTTGGAAGGAGACATATATTTGAAGGTAGTCCCCTTGGGGGAAGGGGCCTGACGGCCTGCAGTTATGGAGTGCAAAGAAGGCTTCCTTTCCGTGTTAAGTTTTATCTCGATTGCATTTTTACTTTGTGCATACAATCTTCTTCTTACTAAAGAACTAGTTTTAAAATATTAATGAACTAAGCATATATATTTTCTCACTTACATATGTCATGGATTTTTTCCCCTAATTTGTGATTTTTAATTTTCTTTGTGTTGACTTTTGACATATTTGAGGTTTGCATTTTTTCATGATTAAATCTATTAGCCTGTTGTATTTTCATTTTAGTGCTTTAGAGTCATAAAATCCAGAATAAGAAGAGGTTATCTAAGTTTCCTTTTTTTAAATAGTTGAAAGGTTGTCCCAGCACTATTTAACAGTTCTCCCTTTGCCTACTGGTTTTTGTACCTTTACCATACATTAGATTTATATATACATATATATATATAAATATATATTTATATTTATACATTGATTTATATATATCTGTATCTCCTAGGATTTGTTTCTGTGTTCTTTGTAATTTTCCATTGTTCTACTGCATTGTTTTGATCCTTTACCTTTTCAATATATGTGACTACTTGAAAAGGCAGGTTCTCCAAATTACATATACATATATCCTTTTCTTCTCATCTTTAAAATCCTTTTAAGCTTTTAAAAAAAAAGTCCATTGGGATTTGTCTTAAGGCTGAAAATTAAATTAGGAAAGGATTAACATCATTTCACTTTAATCACTAAGTCAGGACTATGCACAATAAGTCACTCTCTCTTCATCCAGGTCTTCTTTAATGTCCCTAAGTAAAATTTTTATAAGACCTATAAAGTACTTACCAGTTTTTATAGGGCCTTCACATTCTTTAATAGGTTAATTTTCTAGGAGAGTATATTTTGTCGTGAATGAGGTGTTCTTCATGTTATTTTCTAATTGGTATATAGAAAAAATATTTTGATTGTCAGTATTTAATTAATTTATTTTATAAATAGCTTATTTTTTAAATTAATCTTAAAATCTAGATTAATTTTGAAATCTAACATTTTTATGAATATTTTCCTTATTCTCATAGGATTCTCTTAAAGTCTCTAGGTATATTATATCATATGCAAATTAAAATTTGATATTCTCTTTAATAACTACACTTCTTATTTCTATTTATTCTCTCATTATATTGGTTAGAACAGCAAATTCTCAAACCTTTTCATATTAGTCTTCCTCTACACTTAATTTTTGAGGACCTCAAGGAGTTTTGGTTTTTGTGAATTATATCTATTAATACTTGGGGTATTAAAATTTTAAATAGAATTTTAAGAATATTTATTTGCTATTTACCTTAAAAATAATAATACTAAACCCATTGCAAACATAAATAACATATTTTTATGCAAAATAGCTGTGTTACCAAAACAAAAATATATATGGAGCATAACATTGTTTCACACTTTTTGTAATCTTGTTAATGTCTGATTTAACAGAAGACAGCAAATATCTCATACCTTCTGCATTCAGTCTGTTGCAATATGCTCTTTGGGCTGAAGGAACCTGAAGAAAATCTGGCCTCACCCAGATCTGTAACTGAAAAAAGGAAGAACATTTTAATAGCCCTTTCATATAATATGTATATTTTTCTTTGACACTACATCAAAACTTGATAGCTGGTACCTTCTTAAAGGTTGGTTGTAGTGTGGAATCTGAAACCATATCAATGAACTTTTCATACCCTGTTACATTGAACCCATTGGTCTGTTTTGAACTCTGAATGTTTTTTTTTTTCCATTTATTTTTATTAGTTGGAGGCTAATTACTTAACAATATTGTAGTGGGTTTTGTCATACATTGACATGAATCAGCCATGGATTTACATGTATTCCCCATCCCGGTTCCCCCCTCCCACCTCCCTCTCTTCCCGATCCCTCTGGGTCTTCCCAGTGCACCAGGTCCAAGCACTTGTCTCATGCATCCAACCTGGGCTGGTGATCTGTTTCACCACAGATAATATACATGTTTCGATGCTGTTCTCTCGAAACATCCCACCCTTGCCTTCTCCCACAGAGTCCAAAAGTCTGTTCTGTACATCTGTGTCTCTTTCTGTTTTGCATATAGGGTTATCATTACCATCTTTCTAAATTCCATATATATGTGTTAGTATGCTGTAATGTTCTTTATCTTTCTGGCTTACTTCACTCTGTATAATGGGCTCCAGTTTCATCCATCTCATTAGAACTGATTCAAATGAATTCTTTTTAATGGCTGAGTAATATTCCATGGTGTATATGTACCACAGCTTCCTTATCCATTCATCTGCTGATGGGCATCTAGGTTGCTTCCATGTCCTGGCTATTATAAACAGTGCATGAATGTATTTTTTACTCATACATAGTTTTATAACATCATTCATTGGTCATTTGGAAAGTACTGATGAGGGCTTCCCTGATAGCTCAGTTGGTAAAGAATTCGCCTGCAATGCAGGAGACCCCGGTTAGATTCTTGGGTCAGGAAGATCCCCTGGAGAAGGGATAGGCTACCCACTCCAGTATTCTTGGGCTTCCTTTGTGGCTCAGCTGGTAAAGAATCTGCCTGCAATGCAGGAGACCTGGGTTCAATCCCTGGGTTGGGAAGACCCTGGAGAAGGGAAAGGCTACCCGCTCCAGTATTCTGACCTGGAGAATTCCCTGGACTGTATAGTCCACGGGGTCGCAAAGAGTTGGACACAACTGAGCGACTTTAATTTTCACTACTTTCACTGAGTTAAGAGTTATCTTCCAAATGTTAACAAATTTCATTACACAATATCAAAAAGTCACATTTATTAACCTCAACACCCATCTTATCAGAAAAGTCATTAAGATGGTAAAGAAGTCAAGCTCTTGGTGGCAAATAGCTTCCAAAATTCTATTCTTGTTTAAAATTTAATCATTGCAACAAATACCATTGGTTGTTTTCCTTGAAATGAGAAATTCACTTAGATCATCTTTTAGAAAATATCTGCCAAATGCACAAGTCTAAATAACTATAGTTTTCATGTCAGTTTTTCTTCCACATAAAAGTGGAGTTCAAGGCAAAAGCAGCACGAATCCCATACATACTTTCCCTTGAAACACCAATGGGATGTTGGTGTGTAGCAAATTTGTTGTGTGTGAATTCCCCCATTTCATCACACAGAATATTTAAAGGTGTGTTGTTTAAGGAGGACATTTAATAAAAATTATGATTACTACTTTATCAGGGACTTTTTAAAAAATGTTGCTGCCATGTTTACCCTCAGTGCAAATATCAGCATGGTAAAAAAGACAAATAACACCATAGTATTATGAAAATAGTTTTCACCTTTCAGATCCCCTGAAAAAGGGTCTTGGGGACTCCTGGGGTCCACAAGCTACAGTTTGAGAATCTGTATGTTAGAACTTAGAGAACAATTTAATAATGATCGTATGCGTTCCTTTTTCCACCTACTTTCAGTGGAACTACCTAACAAATACAAATTCTGAGGTTAAATTTATTTATTTATTCATTTGCAAATTTTAGACAATGATTCTGCAACTTCAGAGCCTGATGCCGAAATCACTGCCAAGACCAACGGGAATGGGAGCCCTGGGGAGCAGTCGCCAAGCCCCGTCCAGTTCATAAACAGTGAGGGAGCTGGGGACTTTAGCCGCTCAACTCTTCAGAGGTGCTCTTATCAGATTCATGTTTTCACTGCATTTTACCTTCATTAATCTACGTACCATGTCAATGATTTAATTACCTTAGAAACAGGTTGGCGTCATGAAATCCCACATTTTCATCCCAGCCATTTGATTTTCTCTCTATATAAATGCCACCTCCTGAAGCTTTTCACAGCATTCTTAGTTAATGCAAGCATATATTGATAGGAAAGCATTAATTTTCACTCCTCAAACCCTTCTGAGCTTTCCTATATGCAAGTTTGCTATTAGGACTCAGTTTTACAACCACTGTCTTTTGACTCAGAGAGTATGATTCCCCCCACCTCCTTTTCTGTCTGCTGCAGCTTATAATTACCCTGTCTAGAATCAGAAGAAAAATAGAGTGCCACATATAGTGCTCTGATATTAAATAGGTGCAAAGGAGAGTGAAAGCAGCCTTGATGTCAACTCTCAAATGCACATGGCAGTTTCACGATGCAGTACTTCCTCACCTATATTCACTGTTGGTTATAAGATGGTACTCATTTTCTGCATATATCCATCCCTTCTACTGGTAAAACAATTTTACCAGACAGGCTAGTTCTACTGGAGACAGTATTGCTATTGTCAGTTGCACTACTATTATTTCCATAACTACTTCTGTGCATGGACTCTAAAATTGCATTCAAAACAAGACAGATGAACAAGGCTTCCATGAGGATGTAGTTTCACATGACATAGAGTTTTTTCTTCTTTGGTTCAACAAAATATGCACTATATGGCATATAGTTATAGTTTTTCATTGGATTTAAAGGCAGAATTTGACTTGCTGTGATGGGAGAGGAACTATTGCTCCATACTAACTAACCTGTGGTTTGGCATGTGTGTCTTCATATTACCAGAAAAGTGATCATCTTCTTATCCCAATGCAGATATTTCACTGCTTGCCATTTTGATCATAACACATGTTTTCTCCAATTCATGTTTATGCCACATTTTGCCTATATTAACCTGGCAAGCAATTTTGGTAATTCTATGACTTCAGAAACGGGTAAGAAACAGACTTCCTCATTTTAATCATAGTTTTTCCACTGTTATCACATGCCACAAAATCTAAAAGCCTCTTCAACCTCAACTTCGTAACCTATAAAAATTTAAGTGACTACAGATAACTATTGAAGACATTGAGGATAAGACATACTGGATAAGTCATGGTATATGAAATATATTAAAATACCATTGTTACTTTATGTTACACATAATATACATATAAATGTCTTCAGTTTTCCTGTCCTGTCAACCTTATTCTTTCCTTTTGCTCTGCTTTCCTACACTCATCAAAATTCCATTGGATTAACTGTTCGCCTCTTTCTTTCTCTGAATGCTGCCCTTGTTGCTGGAGGCAGCATGTGCCCTACAGTTCCTACCCCCTCTGCCATGCTAATGACCTAACATGCACTCTCTGAAGGTGAGTATGGACAGTGGATCCCTTCCTTGGTGTCCAGGGTGATAGAATAAGAATCCATCCATAGGACCTTGCATTCAGAGACAGAACTGAGACACCATATCCATTTTCCTTTTTCTTTGAGGTGTTTTTTGAAAAGACATTGAGCACTCTTGTCGCCGTTCTGAAAAAAACGCATTTGACTTTTAAGCCACCCACCCCTGACTAGTGTCTGCCGGCCTACTTTTTCACTTGCAGCGTCATCAGTGGTGTTGGGGAACTGGATCTAGACAAAGGGCTTGTGAAGAAAACAGAGCCCAATACCAAAGACAAACCTTATCCCGACTGCCCTTTCCTGCTGCTAGATGTGCGAGATAGAGACTCTTACCAGCAGTGCCACATTGTTGGAGGTAAGAGAGAAAGGCTTTTCAGTGTCTCACTCCCAAGAACAGAGCCCGGTCCTGAGCCCAGGCAGGCTCGACCCACACCCCATGGTCAGCATAGTGCTAGCCAGATGGGTTCCGGGAACCTGTGAGTTGGCTCCACCGCATGTTCTGAGAGAGGCTGGGGACATTCTCAGAGGGATCAGGGGCCCAGGGCTAAGTGCCAGAAACAGTGAAGCAGTGCTTCCTGTTGTTCACTGAGTCCTGTTCTCTTCTCTGTCACTGAAGTATTTAGGTTTATCACTAGTGAGTTTGAAAATATGTTTCGTTTAACTCTGAGATGTTAAACCAGCTAGGGATTGGGGCCTAGTTGTACTGAGAACTACAAACTTCCTAAGCTTTTTCTTCTCTTTGCAGCTTACAGTTACCCAATTGCAACTCTGTCTAGAACAATGAACCCTTACTCAAATGATATTCTTGAGTATGTATCCTTTGTTGCACTTTAAGGAGTTGGGTGGTATAAGGATTGTAAGAATCAAATTTACCAATATGAATTAGCTAACTTAACATATTTTAGAATTTGGATCCTTAGCTGAAGTTGCTGAGGCTGCTTTCTAGTCCATCCTGCAGTTGGACAAGAAACGTTAGATTAACAGTTAGGATCTATTGACAGTTAGTCCTATGACATTTTTTTCCCCAGAAAGATTTTTTTTTCCCATTTTCCCCAAGTAAAATGTAAGGAGTGAATTTTTTCCTTCTATTTTAATTTTTTTCTTCTTAAAATTTTAATTTGCTCATAAGAATAGTACAAATAGAAAATTTAAATACTGAAAAATATAAAAAATAAAATTGAGATCCCTGAACCACACAACTGAACAACAAACTCTTATGGTATCTTTTATGTATTTTATTCCAGGCGGTCTTCTATGTACTGACTTTAACAAAGTGAAAGTCATATATATAATTTAGTGTGTTGCTTCCCCCACTTCCTATTACAGTGAATTTCCCCACACTAATACAAGCTCTTTATAAACTCTGTTTTTGATGCAGTAAAATATCTCATCTTTAGATTTACTGTAGTTTACTAAATCATTCCTCTCTGGAGGACTGGACTTTTAGGTGGTTCCCACTTTCTTACTGTTCTAAGTAAGGCTGCCGTGGACACATTGGGCACAAAAGTTTTTATGTTTCCTCAACTATAAATGGAGGTTATAATTGCTCTCCGGGATTGTATAGATGAAAGGGCCAAAGAGTATACAGTATGTAACTAGTGCCATCTTGGAGATAGATAGATAGATAGATATACAATAAAAGGATACCAGCTTGTGTTGGTTTTCAGCACAGGAAAAAAAAGTCAGGATGCCCTGAAGAGGGGTCGTCCCGTGCTCCCTGAACTCAGGACAAGCAAACCTTGACTGCTTTCCTTCCCTGGGCGTTTCTGTATAATCTAGGAGCATTAGCTCAGTGTGGTCAAACCTTAACTCATCTGACTCCTAGAAAAATGCCCACGGCAAGATCATCATCCTGTACGATGACGATGAGAGGCTGGCCAGCCAGGCGGCCACCACCATGTGCGAGCGGGGGTTTGAGAACCTCTTCATGCTTTCCGGAGGTGAGGGGCTATGTTCTGCTTAGGACTTAAAAGGCGAATACTTGGACTCACACTCCAGCTTCACTCCTAGAGTTTCCCCCTCCCCTCCCCTGCAGAGCTCAGAATTCAGTATTCTCGAAAGAGAAAAAACCATGCTGGCGGAAGGGAGGCAGGATATGTGAAACTTCCTTTAGCTCAATCAGCACATGTTTCTAATTCCTGAAAGAATGATGTTGCTTTATGGCTCTGTAAGAAAGCCTCAGTGCTGAAGACTTGAGCAAAGCAATTTCTGGTGGAATTCTCAGAAATCCCACATAACAACGGACATTTTCTGGGGTAATTTACTTAATGGTGAAGCAATTAAGAAAGATTTCCCGTCCTTGTGTTGAGGAGACACGTGGGCTCCTTTCCAGGTTTGCCTTGGCCTCACTGTGCTAACACTGCTTTTTCTGATGATCTTCCATACCTAGGTCTAAAAGTCTTAGCTCAGAAATTCCCAGAAGGACTGATTACAGGTTCCCTGCCAGCATCTTGCCAGCAGGCCCTTCCTCCTGGTTCTGCTCGGAAACGATCCAGCCCCAAAGTGCTGCCCCTACCAGCTGAGAATAAATGGAGATTTACCCCAGAAGACCTAAAGAAGATAGAATATTACCTGGAAGAGGACCAGGGTCCTGCAGACAATCCTAGTAAGATATTTTGACCTTTGGAAATATTGTTTCTGTAGAACTTGAGATTTACAGCTTTGAACATCAACCTCATCATATGAGAAGCTTGATCTCTTATATTCAGATTCTTAAAATATTTGCAGGGGGGAGGGAAGTATGCAGGTGCTGTGTGAGGAGAGGGGAAATGAGTGAGTGGAGGTGCTCCCAGATGATGGCAAGAATTAGGCATTGCACGCGGACAACTGAAGGAGAAGTTTTCAGTCAAATAAAGTGAGTATCTCGGACGGAGTTGAGAGGCTAAGCTAAAGCATTCAGAATCCTTCTTGGAATACAAAGTATTCCATCTTACCCCTCAATATTACCATTGTTTTTGTTGTTTAGTCGCTAAGTCATGTCTGACTCTTTTTGCCACCTCAAGGACTGTAGCCTGTCAGGCTCCTCTGTCCATGGGATTTTCCAAGCAAGAATACTGGAGTGGGTTGCCATTCCCTTCTCCAAGAAGGTCTTCCCAACCCAGGGATTGAACCCGTATCTTCTGCATTGGCCAGCTGATTCTTTACCACTGAGCCACCAGGGAAGCCCTCAATTCCTTCTTGGAAAACTTTGCTTCCTTCTGTTGCTTCTTCTTACACTTCCAGCCTTGCCTTTGGCACAGTGCTTTCTCTTTCTCCTCTAAATGTTCCTGTTCCCTTCTCTACTGAGAAGAAATGACAAATAGGTGAGGTTGGTTGGGATAATGGAGAGGAAGGAAAGAAGAGCAATCTGGATTTCCTTTCATCCCTACCCTCTTCCCCACCTTCTAATTGATCTCAAGGCTCAAGAGTAGGTTTTAACCTAAAGTAGATGCTGAATAGAACTTCATTAGCTTAAAAGTGGTTTGTAGCATAAGACTTCATTAGTTTAAAAGTATACTTGGCAGATTGTTTCTACAATCATTTTTGCAGCTCTGCTCCCTGCTTTCTTGCTTCCTCCAGGCCGGCTGAGCCAAGCTAACGCTTCTGGAAGAGATGCCAAGGTTCCAGGCACCCGCAGCGGTCAGAACCTCCCCGCGGGGGGCCCTGCCAGCCACCAGAATCCCCGCTCACTGGGCAGTGGCCACCTGCAAGGCAAACCCTGGAAGTAAAAGACTTTGTCTGTCTTAGTCAAATAAATGTTTTCTCTCCTTTTGGAACCCTGAGCAGTTCCCAAGTTGGTCATTTCAGAAACTGCTGCAAAGACCTCAGCTTGTGTATCAGGCCCTCTTCCTATCTCCAACTGCTTTCCCACATCCAACTTGGGAAGGATTTTTACAAAAACCAGAGGCATGACAGGCTCTAGTGTCCTCCCTATTGTTTACAGAATATTTAAGTCTCTGAAACTGAGTAGGAAAAAAGTCTTAATTTTTTTAGGCTTTAATTTTTTAAAAAATAAGGTCGAGTTTGTTTTGGTCTGTATCCTGCATTGTTTTGTGACTACTTCAGGCACATCTGTGTGTCTTTCCCTGCCTGTTCTTTTTCACTCAGTGTTCTTGGTTTCACAAAGGTTCTCTAGGTAGGCTTTGCAGCCTGAGAACCTGCCCCTGGGGTTGCGGATGATTCATAGCTCTCAGCCGCCACCAGGGTCCCCATCAGGTGTGGACCTGCTGGCTGAGGAGCTTTTTGCCCAGCACCCACCCGAGGCAGGTTCTGCCTTGAGTTTGGAAGCCGATACCTGTGAGCATTACTCAGTTAAGATTTAGTAGCCGCTCTCACGTGTGTGCAAAGCTCCCCCTCACAAGATGTTCTCCTGGGGCCAGCACAGGTGATGATGTGTGCCCAGCCACCCTCATGGGAAAGCCCTGTCCACTGTACAGGGCTGGGTTGAGAGCCATTCATTGAAGCCCCCTGGAGTTACCCCTCATTTGTGGTTGGTTTATCAGTTGTAAATTTCCATTATCCAGCTCAGGCATATCCATATTAGATGGGTAGAAATTATGGCCACTTGAAAACACTGGCTGTGGTTGGGTCACTACCAGCCCACAAGGTGAGGACGACTCCACAGTCCTTTGTCAGAACTGACAACCCCTTAAATCCTTGCTTAAAAATACAGTATTAGTCTAATTGAGTAATTAGTGCAATTTCCTGCTTACTTTTCATTCTCATGACTGAGCTGTGATTAGGAGGTTGTGATTATAGATTCTTGTTTGGCCAGAATTTTGAATCGGTATTAATTGAATTGCTAGATGACTGACATTCATTCCATTTAATTGGGGGAACAAAAGACCTCAGGTAAGGATGAGGAGCTCTGAAATCATCAGGAAAAGGAAAAAGAGGCTTGTTAATTTTTACGGCCTGTGATCTGTAGTTGTGATAAGGGACTGAGGAATAAATTGTGCTCTTTGTCATGGCAACCAGCCTCTGAAAAGCCAGCTGAAAATTGCCTATCCTTAGGTGGTTATTGCTGCTGGGTAAGATTTGTCTTAACAGGACTATTTTTCTCACCACCAAAAAAAAAAAAGGTATCACAGTATTTCCAGCATGGGAAGCTGTATTTGTAGGAGAAATAAAGGTAATAAATATCTTATAGAGACATATGGAAAAATAACTTTCAGATTCAGCCCAGTTCTATTTTAGTGTGTTTATTCTTCTCTACTTGATTTCCAAAGTGCAACATTTTCCGATGCTTTAGAAATCAAACAAACCAGGGACATTGTTCAGATGTCAAGCCGTGCCCAATTTTCCATAAGATTCAAGAATCTTGTATAAAATTCAGCCAACGTACACAAAGCTTTAATGAGGAGCCTGTCATGTTTCCCCATAAATTTATTGCCTGAGAACTAAGTTCAGCCTTTTGCTAATGCCAAAATGCTCTGGCTTTTTATTTTCTTTACAGCATAGATTTTTTTAAATGCAAATTTTTCCACATTCAACTTTCCCCTAGCATGGACAAGATTTTCAGCCATTTTGGACACATATACATTTTTAAGAAAAAAATTTTTTTTTCTCTGTGACAGAGTTCTGTTTATTCCATTTTCAAGTTGATCAGTCAGGAGTCTAGATTTCCCCCACTGGATTCAGTTTTACAAGTAAGTGGTAGCCCCTTTTGTTTCTATTCTGCATTCCCATCACCACAACACTAGAGTGTTTGAAATGACTGTGTATGTGTGCACAGTCAGTGTAGCCAAACCTATTAGAATTGCTGTGCATTTAGTTGAGAGATCTGGCAGGTTGACTGTATTGATGTGTGTTTCTCCATAGTGCTTTGCCTGTTGGTAAGGGTTTTAAATAACTACTCCTCAAAGACCTGTTCTCATTCTGTACTTTGTGTGTTAAATGTCACTCGCAGACAGTTTTTACATGCTCACGGTATTGCTCTGAATGTTCTACATTACTAGTTTCTTCATTAGATTAACTGACATGTATTATTTAAGTGATCTGTGATACTTTGTGCAATTATGAGTGTTGACGATTAAAGTACATAGTTCTTAATTTGTTGTTTGCTATTAATATGCCGAAGTCTGCCAACTTCTCTCTCCCTCTCTGTTGAGATGATCTGTGGGGAGTCACATGAGACTGGGGTGATTGGAAAGTGTACTTCTTTATGCTGTATCTCCCAGGAACGCATGTTTTCTTTGTATAAATGAATCAGGAAATCATTCCAGTTAGGGCAGGAGACCTCAGCTCTCTAGTCAGAAGGTCTGGGTTTCTCTCCATGCCCAGCAGGGACTGATGGCCACCTGAAACACAATACCATGGGACTCCTGTCCGTGTTGCAGAGGCTGACGAGCTGCTCTTGCCTGGGAACTTGGGACCCCCTAGATGGAAAATGCTTCCTCGAAGTACAGCTGCTCCTCTGTCTGAGCGAGTGATGGTCAAAGTCTAACTAATACGTTCAGTACTCTAAAGGGATGTGTATTGAAGAAAGAAAGGAGGGTAGGAAGGAGAGAAGCATGAAAGCAAGAAGTGGAGAGGGAAGAGAAGGCAACATTACTCATTCGAGTACAAAAAGAACACCTCGGTCTGTAATAATGTCAGGTTTAATCTACTGAAAGTCTAGAATGATTTGAATGGCCTAAAAGTAATTTTATTTTTCACCTTCAGTAGAAAGTCAGAACTAGCACAATCATATTGGACTAGGGTGTAAGTCAGAATTAAAAGAGAACAAATAGTGTTCATTAGTTGCTGAGGGATTTTTCCCATGGTGCTATTGAGATTATACAAAAATTCATAAGACTTTAGGCTACTCACCAAGAACACAGAACAAAACAAAACCTTCTTTTCTCAAATTCCCTTGTGGAATATAAGTGAAATCAGAGTCCTGGGCTAGAAAGAAATATGTAGGCAATTTTTCTTGTGTTGGTTTTGGTTTCTGTCATGTTATATATTTGTTGTAGATTCTGTCTTTTATGTTCTCTGACTTTTTTAGGGGGGATAATTAATTTCTGTCCACCTGGATTTAAATCCATGACTCCCTTCCTGTTCTATCCGGAAGATAATCATTAAGAACCTTTCTTTCTCCAGTTTTAAAATACTCCCAGTATCTATAATGTGCTTTTATTTTTTCACAGTTCTTTCAAAGTTGTAACTCCCATGATATTCTCCTTCTTCTTTTTTTAAGAAACATCAGAAATGTGTATTTTACATCAGTTTATGTGATCATGATGATATGCTTATCTTCTATTCAGTTATTTTTTTGATTAAAATTAATATGTTTTTCCTATAAAAACAACAAATAGGACACACTGTGCTTCCCAAGTGTTCAAAACACATTTGGGTAGTAGTACTTTCCTAAAATTGCAGTAATTATTGAAATTGCTGTTGCCGTGTCCTTAAATTGGCACGCAGGTCAGTTATAGCATAACATGTGTAGTGGTGGTGAGTTGTCAGCACTGAATTCTGACAAAGCGGGATTCAGTGCATGATCTTATGTGTTTACAGAACTCTACGCCTCCTTCCCCCTGCCACCCCGTCCCCTCACAGCCTCACTCTCTGATGCTGATCCTCTTTGTCCCGAATGCAGACTCAGATTCTCTTCACGTGCATAACATCCTGAGGCACCTGGTGAGATGTATGGCAACAGAGGTCACTTACTAGACACTGCGGACTGATTGACCACGTTTCAAAAAATTATTTTGACTGTAAGCTCCTAGAAGGTAAAAATCACCAACGATGTGACAGCGACCCTTGATAAGGGTACATGAATAAATGAAGAAATCCATCCAGACTGAAGCCTGGGATGTAAAGCCCACTGCGGCAGTCAGTCAGCACTGGTCTGCCTTCTAGAGACCCGGAAAGTTTGTTATCCCTTGCCCCCTTGAACGTCCTACTTTTGTAAGCGAGGCATTCATAACTCTGAGAGCTTTAGATTACCCCCTGCAATTTTAGATTACCCGGGAAGCTGTGAGGACCTTTATTATTACTCTGGCTGTCTACAGCCTGCCTGTTTCCATGGTCCCCTCAGGCTCAGAGTGGCCTTCAGAATTCATCAGCTACGGGTTATACACCATCTTCCCATCTGAGAGCAGGTTTTACTTTCTCTTTTGTTTCAAATCTTAAAGATTTCCAGGTATTAGTGCTAGTAAACATTTATGGGGCGCTTGCTATGTGTTAGGTTGTATTCTTAGAGTCTTCATCTTATGTTTTGGCTCATTTGACCATCCCAACACCCCTACAAGGTAGGCGCCCCCATTTTCAGGTGAAGAGACTGAGGGTCGAGAGGAAATTAAGCAGCTCGCCCTTGAGTCACTGAGCTGGAAGGTTGAGAAAACCACTCTGCTCTGGGCTTCCCACTCTGGGTGGGCCCAGCGTGCCCTCCCTGGCCATGCCGCCAGTTCACCAACAAAAATGTAACTTTCCCTTGGCTGTTGGCCTCCCTTCCTTCCCTGTTACCCAAGATTCCACTGAAAGCCTTCGTCCTCTACCTACACGAAGGGCAGTGGGAGTTCAGGGATGCAGTTCCCATCTGCTCCTGGGACCATGAATTTCCCCATTCCACTGTTGTCTGTGTCTGGTGGCCTATCTTGAAGACAGGTGCCCCAGGGTTTCTGAGATCTGTTTTGGTTCTCAGCGTGTCCCTAATGAGGTATCACTTAGGGAATGGGAGTTACAAGCTTTTCAACAGATTATCGGGGGAAAGTAGGCTGTTTTCCTGATGGTTAACTCTCCAGTAAAACCATATTGATATGATTTGTGTCCGATCTTCTCTTTCCTTTGTGGCTATGTTTCTGACATAGGCTGAAACATAAATTGTGTGAATTGGCTCATGGTCACAGGCCTAGGCTTCATGGGAGGAAGCAGCAAACCTCTGCACCTCAGTCCGTGTGTGAGCAGAGCTCTCATTCCACTGCACTCCTCTAAAAATGTGGCTGAGCACACCACCGTGGTTAAACAGAAGACTTTTAACTTTCTTCTTTTGGCACGAAACATTTGGCCGTCTTTGTCTCTGGGGTTGGTAGATGATGCTCACAGTTTGAGTTGCCAAATGGATCCTGAAAGCTTTGGGGAGAACTCATTACCCTTTGACAGTTTTTTCAGATTTGACGGGTGTTCTGTGCTTCTTTCTCAGAGCTCTTCCTTCATCTGGCCAGTTTGAATGTTTTGGTTGGTCATATCAGTTTCCTGTAAGGAGCATCTGGGTCTTAGTGTGTTCACAGAATGATGTTTCTGACTTTAGAGTCCTTAGAGCAAGAATCCGTCTGCATCTTCAAATCCACCTAGTCCCACATGTCCTTGCAAAACAATCGCTGAGATGATGAACAGCCCTGCACTGGATGAGGGACTGGTGAGGTCATATCTGGATTGTATTCAGTGACATTTCAATTTTAATTTCAAGCCAAAGCTAGACATACATATCTTAGTGTTAATTCAAAAGACCACCCAAAGGATTCTTATGGACCACCAATGGCTTCACGGGCCACACTGAGAACCATGGATAAGGGTCTAAGAATGGAGTAAATGAGTTCATTTTAAAATAAAGATTTTTGAAAAGTCCTGGAGAACAGGCAGTAGCCTAATCAGTTCCCCAGATTGCTGCAGGAACTGAGTGTGGGCAGCAAGCACTCCTGGGATTTGTCACCCCACACTATCTCTGGCCCCAACAAGATGCTGGTACCCTGCCCTTGGTAGGGCACTTACTGCCAGCTCCATCTGGAATGTAAACTTTTCCAAAAGTAAGACAATTACCTTGTTCAGGGAGACAGCAGAAGAAATGAGTTTCGACAAATTATGAAATAGAATCTGGGCACAAATTAAGATGATGATTTAGATGTCTGATTTTGATAATAAGTTGATACTAGATAATGTTACCCACAGGTGATCTGATGTGTTTGTAGTAGCTTCTTTCATTGCAAGAAACTCAGAAAAGTTTAAAGAGGAAAAACCATCACCTAGGGTAACCACAATTATTACTATTGGAGAATATCTACTTCCAGGCATAGTGGGTATATGTTTTTCAAACAAAAATGAGATTCATATTCCATATACTATTTTATAGCCTGCTTTTTAAAAGACTTCGTGGAAATACAAATCATATGCCGTAAAATTCACCCATTTGAAGGATACATTTCAGTGGATTTTAGTAAATTTACAGGGTTGAGCAAGCATTACCACAATCCTATTTTAGAATATTTCCATCATCTGACCAGCTTCTTTCACTCAGTATATTGTGACCATTTTTCCATATCAACCACAGACTACAACGGCTTCCCAATATTCCATTGTGTAAACATGTAATACCCATATTAATACTGGTATCTATCTAGGTTCTTTTCCATTTTATTTAAATTTTTATTATTGAAATGTCGTACATGTGTTTATTTGAACTCAGAGAATTTTTGTAAAATAAATTCCTCCAAGTGGACTTACTGAGTCAAAGCAGCAATATGTTGAAATTTTTTATTTATATCACCAAATTCCCCTCTGGGAAGGTGGTATAAATTTATCCTCCCACCAGCAGTATATGACAGGTCTTATTTCTTCATACTCTTGATAATACTGAATTGTCAGTCTTTTTATTCTTTATCTGATGGGAAAAAAATAATATATTTTTCTTTAATGTACAAAAAAAAATTGCCCAGAGAATCAGTATCTTTCATTTATCAACTTTTTGTATTTCTTCTTTGGGGAAGAAATCTTCTATTTTTCTTTTGAAATGTTAAGTCTTTTTTTTTAACCTCTTTTACTTATAAAGGCTCTTTTCCTCTCAGGGTTATTAATACTTTTTTATATATGCTGTATTAGTTTCTGAAATTATCATTTCTCTTTTAGTGTTGTTTTATTTAGAAAATAAAAGCTTTTAATCCATAGATTTATAAAAATATGTATCTGCAAAGTATAAAGTTAAAAATATTTTTAAAATTAATTTCCATGTCTCCATTTGAGAAGCATTTATTAAGTGCATGATACGTGTCATGTACTTGGTCAATCATTAGAAACTGAGGGTTGAGCAAAATAGCCTGGTTCCTGCCCTCCTGGCATTTTCATTCTGGTGCTATGCTTCTTGTCTTTTCAGCTTTCTTAATACTTTGACTTGTTCAGAGCATTACTTTCTAAACTGCAGATCAGGGGAATTCAAAATAACTTGCAAGCTTACAAAATACAGACTATAAAAATGAAAAGTTTTCTAGTAAATGTGGAGAGCATTTGTTCAACAAGTACTTATTGGGTATCTATATGTCAAGTAGAGGGTTTTGAAGACTGAATACCAAACCAAGTAGCCTCTGCTATCAGGGAATACAGTTTATTTTAGATTAAGCAATTCTACCCTTGATCCCTAAGTAATCCAGTTTTAATAAGAGGATACACTATCTTGCTAACTTAATATTTTTTCATTTATCAGTCTGTATTAAGCAGTAAGATCAGTTTTTTTTTTCTTGCTGAGCCATCACAGTGGGTTTCAGCTTATCTACATAAATTGAAGGGAAATGCTTCCCAAAAGATAACCTGAAGGAAGGGTTATAAAATCTTTAGATCATCTTTCTGTAAAGGCTGAAACACCGTTTTACCTTGCCTTATAAACTTATATATGTGTAAGTTTATGTGTACTATATGTATAGTCAGCCTCATCCTTTTTATTTTTCAGAATGTTTGGTAGCAAAAACATATTAAAAAATGAATGGAGTATAATATATTAAAATTTTTAATCCCTATTTTGTATACCTGAAACTAATATATATATAGTAAATAAACTATGCCTCAATTTTAGAATGTCAAAAATTATTTTTAAAATTCCAAGATGAAAATTCCCTAATGGGCCCTTAAAAAAAAGCATTTGAACTTCAGGCTATTGTGTGTGAAAAAGACACAAATTTTTAAGTCACTGAAGTTGGAAGCATTGTGGTACTTTGGCTGATACAGGGAAAGGCTGCCATCCTTACCCCAGCTCCCCTATTTGGGGAGCTACCAAGCCATCACCCTACCCCAACTTCCCAGTAACTTCTTAGGACTGACTCCCTACTCAACAGTCACACCTTAAGAGATCTGGAAGAAACGAATATAGATTCTTGCTTTGAAAAAAAGTTGAGATATATGCTATGTGTTTTGTGGTGCTAGCCACTAGGGTGATATCACAGACACTAGAATCACCAAGCCAAAGGAGGGAAGCCAAATTCTAGGAGCTGAGGAGGTGATGTATCAAGAGGAGAGTCTCAGGTTTGAGAAATTTTGCAAATGATAAGGAGCGGCGGTAGGTGGGAGAGGAGACGGAGTGCAGACAGTGTACCAGGAGATGCTAGAAAGCGGTGGCAGTGAGAAGTAAACTACTTCTGTCTCTAAAGGCAAAGTCTCTGCGATAAACTTCAATTAATAAAAATGCCCTGAGATTGGTGTTTGTTCTTTATCTTTAAATAATTCCATTTAATGCAATTGTTTTCTTCCAATTTAGTTCAGGAGTGGGAGACCATGTTTTGCTGTATAGAAAGCTTTGCCTGACTGTGACATCCATCTGGGAAAGCAGTGACCACCAGGATTATTCTATTTCATACTCAGGGTTATTGCTTTTGTAGATGAATGGATCCAACTAGCTAGACTATTGTACAAGCTGAATTCCTTACCACGGCGGGGTGCTGGGCATTTGGTTAGCAGCTGTGGCTGCTGCTTGCTCTTAAGGTATGAACAAATCACCCAACTGACGAGCTGAGCTCAGGGTGGTCTCATTAAAACAGATGCCACTTGGATACAACTTCACAGGACCTTGGAATGCAGGGAAGTTTAAGGGTCATCTAGTCCAACCACCCACACGTTTCCACTGAGATCTGCAGGAACTAAATTACTTCTGCCCCAGCTTGAAAAGGCCGACATGCCACATGCATCCCCACACAAGAGTCCATTCTGTTCCATGTACTCTCAGACTTTATTTGGTTGTCTAGGTGGGGCTGAAGAAGAGGAAGAAGGGAGTGCTGAAGGGCTGGGTCAGTAAGCATTATTCAACGTATGCTCCATGATGGTCAGAAGCCCCAGCCATGTCTCCTGGGCTGTGGGGATGATCTGGGAGGCTGGCAGCAGGAAACCATAGCGCCCTGTGTCCCGGAGTTCAAAGGTGAAGGAGTACTTGATGCCTTGGCTGTAGGCCCAGTCAATGCTGCCTCCACTGGCTTGGTCTGGAGCAGGAGTAGAACCAGCAGAACAAGGTCACTCACTTGAAAATATTTGCAAGGGCCAAGCTAAAGATCCCAAGCCGAGACCCTCGTGCAGTGTTGACTGGAGTCAGCCTCTGCTACCTTCCCGCTCTTGACCAAGCAGCTCGGCTTCCTCCCAAGAAGCTCCTGTGAAAGACTGCAGTCCAAGAGGCCCAGAGAGGCAGACCAGGAACAGTTCTCCCCTCACTGGAGCGTGCAAGGAAGCTCCCATGATTTGGAAAGCTGCCTCTGTCTAACAGCGGCTTGGGTCAAGCCCCCGCATATACCAGAGTTGCCCACTTGGGTAACCAGGATCGTCCCCCAGGGTCCTGCTCTGCAGGGGGAAAGTGCGAGGGGCCAGAGTCATAGCAGAAGCCCTCGCTGTCTTTGGCAGACAGCTCTGCAGCAGATATATAAAGCTCCCGAGGAACTGCTGGGGAGGAGGAGGCTCCAGATCAGAATTGAACCCCACAACACTGAACAAAGCAAAGACCTTTTCATTCAGGGTTGAAACAGTCTCCAAACAAACTCCAAACGGTCCAAAGGCCAGCCAGAGGTGAGATTGTGACCTCACTCGCCCCCCCAGAACTGGGCACTCGGGGCAGGAAGCCAAAAGTGTGGCCGTATGCCCTGTGCCCTGAAGGGTGAGCCCCACACTTGCTGCATCCCCTCGGGGCCCTGCAGAATCTCCTCCACCCCCCACCCCCACGCCCCCGTCCTGCTGCAGCCAAGGAGTCTGTGCTCTTCCTGCTGTTCCCAAAGCACACCAAGCCAGAGCACATGGGAGGGACTTTGTTCTAGAAGATTCCTCTGCCTAGACCCTCATCCTCAAACAGCCTCTTGGCTCCGTCCCTCAGTTCCTTCAACACTTGCCCAAATTTTGCTCTCACTGAGGCTCATGCTTCAGTCCCACTTCCACCCCCATTACTCGAGCCCCCTCACCCTGTCCTGGGAGTTCTTTTTCTCCTTAGCATTGATCACTTAACACACCATATCATTTCCTTATTCATGTTTCTTGTCTAGAATAAATTGTCTGTCCCCGGCTAGAATAGGAGTCTGCTTATTCTATTCCCAACTGTATCCCAAGCACACAAAACAAGCCCTAGTATATCGTAGGTGTCCAATAAACATTTGACTTAATTCCATTTGATGCACTGCATGGATAAGTATGCTGAGAAAAGATAGGATATATTCTATAATAGAAGGGCATTGGAGGAGGAGTATTTTTTAAGTTTAATTTCTTGGGGGATCTACAACACAAAGGCCAGCAGAAGTCTCTATCATGCTCCATGCATGAAGCTGGATTTAACCCCAAGATAAGGGGACAAGAATTCTCAGAGGAACTGAAGTCTTTGTCTGAAGGTATCAAGGAAGGCAGAGTTCACGCCAGGAAAGGGCCTGCTGCACACCAAGCCAACAGTAATCAGTCATGGCCGGGGCCGTTCTCCTCGTCCATGCTCCCACACTGGGGTACCCCTGGCTACTTCCTCTGGGAAAGACACTCCCGTAGACAGGAAAAGTCAACTGAGCTTCCTCCTGGGACCACCCATGAGACCGTGCACACTTACAAATTGTTGTGATGATGCTGCCGTATTTGTAGCTGGTCCCATAGAGAGAACTCAGGGCTTCAACAGCAGACTTAGCCACCTGATTCTGGAGAAAACGCCAAGCAAGACGACTTGTCACGGCCAGCAACCCCAGATCCCCCATAACCGCTGGGCCGGGGTATCCTGGGGGCTGGCAGAGTGACTCAGGAGCACACGCCCTGCAGAAGCCCACCCCCAGCAGACAGCACGGAGCCCGCTGGGCCTTGCGGGGTCAGTCTCAGGAACCCAGAAGCCCTATGATTCTGAGCTTGTGGGCTGGCTGGCTGGTACTTCACCGCCCTTTGGCCATTCTGCAGCTCCAAGTGTGAACTTGTGGTACCAGCTCAAAATCCAGTCCTGCCCCTTGTTCTATTGTGTGATGGGAGTGACTGAAGCACTCTGTGCCTTGGCTTCCCAGGCAGAGAGTCTAATCGGCCTTGCTGGCTTCCCAAGCCATCAGGGGTCCATGGGAGAAAGGGGTGCTAGGCACAGTGTAGGCCCTCATGCCTTAAGCAGGTTTGATGGGCCCGTCCAAAGCTGCCTTTGGGATGCAAGGGCAAGCAGGGATCAGGTACATACCAGCTCATTCTTATCAGGGATTGATTGTGTTGTGTAGCCATAGGGATAGAGGAGGAGCTGGGAGTAGCTGTGGATGGAGAGGAAGGCCTTGAAGTTCCCATGGTCTTTCACAAAGTCCACGATGGACTTGACCTCCACTTCGGAATTGGCAGACTTGCCATGGTAAGTCTCCGAGCAGGGGTTGCTGCTGGCTCCTGCCTCTGTGGGAGGGGAGAGAGGATAGCTGGCATTCCTTACACCCGAGTAGTTGGTTTCCAGGGGCTTCTGGTCTTTGCATGAGGTGAGATGTACAAGGCCTCACCCCCACCCCGGATAAGGAAAGGGCAGACGACTTTTATAACCTGGGGGTCCTGGGCCTCCCTCCCCAGCCAAACTTGGACAGAGCTGATGAACACACCCAGAGAGGTAAGAAGGGTCCTCATGTGAGACCACTCCCTGCAGTGCAGTGACCACAGAGGGAAGGGGCTGAAGTTACACTAGAAAACCCCTGGATGGGTTTCAGACCTCAGTTCCATTGGGAGGGACTTTCCTTTTACTGGCAAAGGAACAAGTAGGTCTCAGAGGCCACCTTCCTCCCTGAGTACCTTGGAGGAGGGGCCAGCATTCCCCACGTGCCCCCACTGCAGGGGCAGGAGTGGGGTGGGGACACTAGGACAAAGGATGGTAAGAAACCATTCTTGGGGGGGTGGTCCCATCCCTGCTTCCCAAACCACACTGGGCCTTACTCCCAAAGCCGGCATCCCAGTTGCGGTTGGCGTCCACCCCAACACAGGAGGAGCCCGACGTGACAGATCGAGTCTTGCGCCACAATCGATTCTGAGAGGAAAATGATTAGCCACCCCATAGGGGTCAAAATCAACACAGAGCTTGGGTGTGGACACAGTAGGGGATCAGAAACCATTTCAACTGGTTTTCAGGGAGGAAGATCTGCAGAGGAGGCTCTTGCCTGAAGGAAAATGGAGGAGATGATAGATGGCACTTGGCAGAGGGTTCTACTGGCGGAAAGTGAAGAAGGCATGCAGCATTCCCCCAACCCCATACATAGCTGATTGGTAGCAAGTTGTCCCATAGAAATAAAATAGAACCAGGAAATAATTTCTGGGGAGTATGTCTCCACTGGGGACAGTTCTGTCCCCCACAAGATGGAGATGTTTTCAGTTGTCTCATCTGGGGGCTTGAGGAGGTCAGAATGCTGTTTATGCAGGATAGCTCCCGACACACCAAGAATTATCTTCCCAAACTGTCAAGAATGCCAAGGTCAAGAACCCCTAGTCAAGGAGAAAAGGTCTGTTTGTCCCTCCCTCAACTTCTGGGGGCTGAGATGAGGGGAGAGTAGCATGCGGGGCTCAGAGGACAGAGGCTCGCCCCGCTTCCCCCAAGAACAGGAGAAGGCCTATACCTGGCTGTGGGTGAAGACAAAACCATCAGGGTTGGTGACAATCTCCAAGAATATGTCCATGCTGTCAAGAATGGCAGTGAAAGTTGGGTCCTGGCCATAGTCATCTGTGAACTGGGATCGGGGGAGGGCGGTGTTAGGGAGCAGAGGGGCAGAGCAGGCCAGGCCAGGCATCTGCTACGCTGGACCAATGGATGCCTGCCCTCAACCTCCCTCTGTGGTCGTTGCTTCTGGATGGGAGGCAGGGGCGAGGGCTTCTGTGGGCCTTGGATACCAATGCACTAACAGGTGAGAGCACCCTCACCTCCCCAGGCTCACCTTCTTTGCAAACCAGACCCCAGTGGCCTGGGTGATCCACTCCCTGGAATGGATGCCTAAGTCGATCCAGATGGCTGGACGGTTGCTTCCCCCAGTGCTGAACTGGATGAGAAGAGCAAGAAATGGTTCAGCGGGGGCCCCTGGAAACGGAGTGCACCCTAAGCTGTCTGGTCTCTGTATCCCAGGTAGAAGCTCCGTCTGAGGGGCCGTCACTCAGGTGGGAGGCGGAGGTGGGTCTGGACAGGGATCCTGCAGAGCCTAGCTTCCTGCCCTCAGCTCAAGTGACAGGGAAAGTCACTCAGTCATGTCCAACTCTTTGCAACCCCATGGACTGTAGCTCGCCAGGCTCCTCGGTCCATGGAATTCTCCAGGCCAGTATACTGGAGTGGGTGGCCGCTTCTTCTTCCAGGGGATCTTCCCAACCCAAGGATCAGACCCAGGTCTCCCGCGTTGCAGGTGGATTCTTTACCTCCTGAGCCACCAGGGAAGCCCAAGAATGCTGGAGTGGGCAGCATGGGGCAAACATGACTCGGCCAGCTTCCGGGCCCCACTGTGTTCCCAGGTTCACACACAGTTCTGTCGAAGGTCACATGCAAAACATTTCATCTGGACTACCCAACTCTGGGATACTTTGCACAATGTGACACTTGACTGGGAACAGGGGAGTCACCTAAAAGTTTAAACTGTGTGTACAGGTATGTGTGCACCTGTGCTACACACAGAGTCTGTGTAACAGTGTGTTTTCTGCCACCCTGGGCTCACCCCTGGGAGCCCTATGCACAAATGTGGGCATCCATTCTTGCAGAAGTGTCCCATGCACTGGCAGGCACCCATTACCTTCAGCACATAGATGGGACGGCCTTCATAGCTGCTGCCAATCTGGAGCTTGCTGACAAGCTGTGGGTGCTCGGCCACCAGCAGGTCCATGAAGTCATAGATCTGAAGGAGCAGAGGAGGGAAGGCTGCCTTCGTGGCTTCCGAAGGGAGCCTGGATGCCTCCCTTAGCAGCTCCTGAGCGAGCCTGCTGTGAGCCCTGAATGTGGAGGAGCTGCAATCTAGAGACTCCAGGCAGCGTGGAGACCGGGCAGAGGCCACACACATCCAGGCTGGCCCTGGCGCGATCTGCCAGTCTGACCAAGAGCTTGCTGCTTGTGGGGAGCAGCGCCCTCCCGGGGTCCCTCACCTCATCCAGGGTGTGGTAGGTGGCGTAGTTAAATGTGTTGGTGCTGCGGGCCCGGCTCTGGGAGGCGAACATCTGCTCCTGCTCCTCATCAAGTAGCGACTGCACGTCCTCAATCATGATCCTGTATCTGATGCCATGGGCTTCCAGGAAGACTTTAACAGCCTGGAGGCTGGGGAAGGGCACTCGGACGTCGATGGGGGAGCCTGGCTGGGCAGGGCCCCTCCAGAAGTCCAACTGGGGAAGACAAGAGCCACTGTCACTGCGGGCTGGGGAAGGGCACCCATGGGAAGGGGTGCTGGCGCCAGAACTTCCCATATAACTGCGGATAGGGCGTGAATATGAGGGGAAGAGGATGAAGGGACCCCCTGGGCACCGCACAAAGTCCAGTGTAGTCAGGCAAATGGCCCAGGAAGCAGAGTGGAGGGGCTTGGGGGCAGCAAGGGAGAGACAAGAATTAGGAGTTGGGACGGGGGAGCGTGGGGGAGGCCCTTTTGCTCAGATGCTCAAAGGCAGCAAGATTCTGGAATTGGGAGGTTTATATCACATCCTAACAGGGATCAGACCCATGGCTCATTCCTGGGTGGCTGGGGAGAGAGAGCCCAGGTCCCGGGTGGGCCCAGGTAGGTGGAGGTCTGGGGCAAGTCTGCCCTCAGAGGTACCCTGGGGCCTCGGGGCTGCTCCCGCGTCCTCTGACCTGCAGATGCTCCAGGTCTTCCAACTCCTTCACCGTCTGCACCTCGGCCTCATCGGCGGCAGAGATTCGGAGCACCTGGTGCCTGGGCAGAGCGGGAGGAGAGGCTGAGGGCCTGAGCAGCTCCTACTGGCCATGCACGCTCCCCAGGTGGGAGGAGTGGGGCTGGGCCAAGCAGGGGATGCACAGGGGATCCTAGCAACAGGAGCCCTGGGCTCCCTGGAACCTTCAGACACTGCTGCTGTCACCGCCCCATCTTTGACTCTTTCTCTCCCCAAAGACCGCCAGGCCTTCTCCTGCCTCCTCTTTTGAAAATTCCCCCTCAGGGCTCAGATTCTCCAGAGCTCACAAGGCTGTCCTGAGAGACTGGACCCTTTCTCAGTCCTGGTCCCTGGTCAGCCTGCCTTCCGGGATGTGCTAACTTGCTGCCCTCTGGGCGTCTTCCCATATACCTCCCCCAGGCGCTGGCTGGCAGATGAGTGCCCCCCCATCTCTCCTCTGAGCACCTCCTCCTCTCCATGTTCTTACCCCACAAAATCCTCTTTGCCGAGGGCAGCCCCCAGCAGCACGCTCAAAATCAGCAGCCCCTGCATGCTGCAGTCAGTTGGGAAGGTCAGCTGGCACTGAGAAGGTCCTGGGGCCTTTTAAACTTTCCCAGGACAGAGGTCTCCTGGCTGAGCCCAAGAGTAGTCCTTCCGCTTGCACCTGGGCCTTCTCCCACGGACAGTGGTGGGGGGAGTTCCGGGCTCTGACACCGGCCCACCCTTCATGATAAAGTGGCAGGGAACAGGGCAGCTGGAGAGATAAGCCAGGCCTCAACCTCTGGCCATGAGGGCCCAGCCTGGGCCTGAGGGTCAGCTGGGGCTTGCAGCCTCCCAGCTGGAAGCCTGCTTGCCCACAGACCCTCCAGTCCTATTTACTGACCCGGCCATGGAGGAGCAGCCGGGACCCTGTAGCCTGGCCGCACCAGCTGGGGCCTCGTGCAGGGTGTCCCCTTCTCCCACGTTCCTGAACGCCAGCTCTTTTGTTCCCACGAGAGAGCAAGCTGGGAGCCAGACTTGCTGGCTCCTCAACCACCCTGGTTTTGTCTAGGGTCACCTGACCTGCAGGGCACAGCCCTGGGAAGGAAACTTCCCAGCCCCACTCCCACCAGTCTCGACGGCCTTGTGGGAATCGGGCAACAGCACAGGAGCCGAAGTTCCCCTCCCTCCCTGCTGCTCTAGGGCTTTGGGAATCAAGGCTTGCCCTTGGTGGGAGCTGTAATCTGATGTCCTCTGAGCAGAAAGTGTGATGGTGGGAACCAGGACCAGACCCCTGTGGGGACTGCGCAGTGTACAGGATGCTGACCTCACTGAAGAGACATCTAACACAAATCCACCCTAATCCACAGGGGTCAAGCAGTTCCCTCGCGGTATCTGGGGGCCCTGCTCTGTGTCAGGGCCTCAGGCTCAGGCACTGATGAAACAGCCAAGGTGGTCCTTTCTGGTTTCCATCTGTTCCTTCTGCCTCTCCAGCCTACCCTCTACCTGGCCAAATGTCCTAGGACAAGGCAGAGTGACCCGTTATGTTTACCGACAACTCTCCCGAGCATAGCTCCAGGAAGGTGATAAAATGCTGAATCCATCCTCAACAGATGTTAAGCCTCCATGAAGACTGTTCCTTTCTATACTCTGGCAGCCTTGCCTGCCCTCCACACCCCAGGCAAATCTTGCCTCCTTCCTGAAGCTTCCTCTGGCTTCTCTCTCACCTCTCTGTCCCACCTCTGAATGAATGCTCATCTCTTTGCTCATTCATCCTTCTGGGCCTGGTCCTCCGCTCCACCCTGACATGATGCCCGAGATAGATGGGCCCCTGATCTCATGGAACTTGGTCTGATGGGGCACATGAAAGTAACCAACTCACTTGTGTTCTCTCAAGTTTTCCAAGATGCTGTCGGTCACCGAGACAGAATTAAACATGCATGACATTCATGGGGAGACACACCCATGAGAGATAAAGGGGAAGGGGAGAAGAGGCTTCAGCTCGCTGCAGGACTGACACCTGGGAGGGGAGCAGGGAGAAGGCAGATTGAGGGGGAAGGAATTCAGGGAGCAGCACAGTTCTGAGGACACTTCAGCCAGGCCGATGCAGAACCTTGGAGCCAAAACGGCAGCTCAGGGAATCCTACCTCCAACAGGAATTCTGGTACCAGTGCCGTGCTGTGCTCAGCACAGCTGAGAACAGCCCAGGAGACGCGTGGCCTCGTCACACCATACCAATGGGACCATCAGGCCACTAGGCTCCCCAATGACTTGTTAGGATGCTGACAGACTTCTAGGGGGAAAGACAGAAGTAACCAGCCAACGTGTCGGTTCTCCAATAGGTCTCCAAGAAGCTGTCATCAAGATAGGATGAAACATGCAAGACACTCCTTGGGCCACTCCCCTTGCTGTAGGAGACCTGAGCATTGCATTTTCCATAATGTGGTGTGAAAGGCACCAGTAGGGCTGTGGACTCAGAACTATGGACCCAGCCAAGCCTGGGTCCTAATGACTGGATCTTGCCAGGTAGGGCAGGGAAGTGATGTTTATCACACTGTTTGGTGCTTGAACACAAACACACATTTATTTCTCCTTAATCATTCCTAAAGTGTTATTTCTGTCTCCCCAGTGAGACTATACACTTCCTGAGACCAGGAACCATGTCTCACCCATCCCTCATAGTCCCCCTCATCTCTTAAGTGTCCTACGGGGCTCTCGAGCTGTTCTAATCTGTCCGCCACCCGCCAGGAAAGGTTTTGTAGAGGCTTTCTTGAGTTTGCATTATGAAAACAGTATTTCTTTTTCTAAGTCAAAAGCTGCCCTATAGTTTTTAATGTTTCATGCACACTACCCATTTTGAAGGGGGTGCTGGCTAATTCTTGGTCTTTTGTGAATTCCTTTCAGAAAAGACAAGCCTGTTGGAAAAGGGGGAGCAGTAAGGGAGGGTGCCACAAGCTGAAGTTAGGGTCAGCACTGAGCAGCAAGCTGAGAGCACAGTGGCAGAGGAATGTGGGTCTCAGGTAGAAGTTAAGCCTAATTTCTGGGGTCCCTCCAAATGCTGAACATTGCCTTTTGGTAAAGACCAATTTGCTAGACTGGAGCCTGGGGCAGAGGGCCACAGCTCTGCCTTTCTACCAATGGGCATGTTTCACATCAGTCCAGCCCTTCAGAGTAAGGGCAAAGATGAGGGCCATTGGGCTGAAAACTGAGGGAACAGGCAGAGCACCAAGACCCAGTAGCATGAGAAAGAAAACAGACTGGCATCCAGATTCAAGGACAAGTCACTGGGTAAGTGCCTGAGTGTAAACAGGCGGAGACCTGCTGCCACCACATCGACCAGCATTCAGTGCCCTCCCTCCTTCCTGCTGGGTGAGCTGACCGAACAAACCCAGGTCGTACATGGGTGTCACCCCTCAGGAAAGTCACCCCATTCCCAGCTTAGGAATAAATTCTAAGATTGAAAGTGAAATGAAAGTGAAAGTCGCTCAGTCGTGTCCAACTCTTTGCGACCCCATGGACTTATACAGTCCATGGAATTCTCCAGGCCAGAATACTGGAGTGGGCAGCCTTTCCCTTCTCCAGGGAATCTTCCCAACCCAGGGATTGAACCCAGGTCTCCCACATTGCAGGAAGATTCTTTACCAGCTGAGTCACAAGGGAAGCCCAAATTCTAAGGTTGGTCTAAGACAGTCTTCAAAGAATCTCATTCTATTTTGCAAGTGATTGGTTAGAGGTAGGCATGTGACCCAGTTTTGTCAATGAGATGTGAGGGGAGACCAACAAGGAAACTTCTAGAAAATATTTCCCCACTCTTGAGAAGGAGATACCTTTCTCTGGACACTGTCCAGTCTGTTGCCCCACCTTTAGACTGTATAATATGAAAGGATATACATTTTCTTTTTATTAATTGGGATTTCTGTTGTTGTAAAAAGCATTCTAACTGATGCACTTACTAAGGTAAGCATACAGGTATTTTTAAAGTACCTGTATTGTCAGAAGAGAGAGAGCCTTTATGTGAGATGAAGAAAGACACCTCTCCCTCTCTGGACAGACATCATCCCTAAGCAGAATACCTTTGTGCAGTGCACAAGCTGGACAACTATCCATGGCAGCCCTGTTGCCAGAAAATGCCCAAGCATGATCAACAGGAGCTCTAAGACAATGCTTAGAGATCCCCACAGCAAAACCTAGAAAATGGGTTGCTAAAGCAGCATAAGGAGACACAGTCCCCCATATCTACATTAGAGATCCAAGCGGGACAGTGGCAAGGGAGATCTTGGAAGGGAAGTTAAATGGGTGCAGTCAGAGTGGCTAGATGCAGTAAATGAACGAGACGTCAGGTGTGCCCCTTTGGCAGGTGTGTTTAAGGCTGTGCGTGCTACATACAGTGTGCGCGTGGGAACAGACGTCTATGGGAATATGGGGCAGCCAAGCGGTGGACTGTCAAGAACAACACTCTTATTTGCCCCACCCAGGATCCTCCTCCTCCTGGTAACAGCGCCTCCACTTTCCCTGAAGGTCCACCCTTCCCAACTCTGAGGTCACGTGACTCAGGCGGACGGAGCCACCCTGCCCCCACCCCAGCTTTAGGGATGAGACAACAAATTCTACTTTTTTCCCACAAGCTTCTTCAGGTTGGTTTTCTGTCACATGTGATGGAAAAATGTATCTAGCTATAAAATAGGTAACTAATAAAAACCCACCGTATAGCACGGGGAAATTTACCCAATACTCTGCAATGGTCTGTACTGGAAAAGAGTCTAAAAAGAGTGGAGATATATATATATATATAAAAGCTGATTTTATATATATATATATAATATACTTATATATATATATATATAAACTGATTCGCTTTTATGTGCACCTGAAACTAACACAACATTGTAAATCAACTATAGTCCAATAAATTTTGGTTTTAAAAAAGAACCCACCTAACACAGACACTAACTTCAGAAGAGAGAAAAATGGGACAGCAACGCCTTGTACAGTGATTGCCACAAACCCAGCATATGATCTAGGGCAGGTCCCTGCACATCCCTGGACCTCAGTTTCTTCATCTATGAAATGAGGGAGTTGGTCAAAATGATCTCCACAGTCCCTTACAGCTGTGACCCTTTATGATTCTGGGACATTTATAGTTTTACCCTGGGCAGGGTGGAGAGAGGTTTGCCAGGTCTGTGGGAAGGTCAGAATAGAGACAGAGAGGCCCTGGAATTCTCAGCGGGTGAGTGCTCCCAGGGCAGGGTAGGCGGAAAGGGACCACGTCCTGCTAAGGTTGTATTAGGGAGGGCAGTCTTGGTGGGGGCATGGAAGACAAGGGGGAGGTCCGTCAGCAGCCCTCCTTGAGTTCTGCTTTCATAACTGAGTGCCCAGTAGAGACTGTTTGTTTGCTTTCAAATTGTGGAGCTGTCACTTTAACGTAGCTAGCAGTGTTCATCCTCAGAATGGAGGCAGAAATTTTCTTTGGAAGAAGAGTCACCTGCAGAAAGAAGTACTCCAGTGGGTCTTTAGGAAAAATCAGGAAAAAAAAAAAAAGTCAAAATCAGAGCCCAAATCTCAGAACAGAGATA